GCTTAGGGTTCTAGCCCTGCTTGTGCTAGGGTCTGCCCCTGCTGAGCTAGGGGTCTGCCCTGCTGTGCTAGGGTCTGCCCTGCTGGAGCTAGGGTCTGCCCTGCTGAGCTAGGGTCTGCCCTGCTGTGCTAGGGTCTGCCCTGCTGAGCTAGGGTCTGCCCTGCTGAGCTAGGGTCTGCCCTGCTGTGCTAGGGTCTGCCCTGCTGAGCTAGGGTCTGCCCTGCTGAGCTAGGGTCTGCCCTGCTGTGCTAGGGTCTGCCCTGCTGAGCTAGGGTCTGCCCTGCTGAGCTAGGGTCTGCCCTGCTGTGCTAGGGTCTGCCCTGCTGTGCTAGGGTCTGCCCTGCTGAGCTAGGGTCTGCCCTGCTGAGCTAGGGTCTGCCCTGCTGTGCTAGGGTCTGCCCTGCTGTGCTAGGGTCTGCCCTGCTGTGCTAGGGTCTGCCCTGCTGAGCTAGGGTCTGCCCTGCTGTGCTAGGGTCTGCCCTGCTGAGGGTCTGCCCCAGCAACACGGGTCGGGCACTTCCCCGCCCAGCACTGTGTTGTGGAGGCACCAGGCCCCGCTCCTGTCCCGGCCCACCCAGGCCTCCCTAGCAGCCGTCTTTCCAGGCGGGTGTTCCTCCCTCCTCGCCCTCCCTCAGGCTGTTCCTCAGCCTGACGTCAGTGCGGGGGCCCAGGATAGGTGTCACCAGGACCCCCCACTCCTGGCTGCCGCTTGCACTCCCTCCCGTCCTGCCTTTCCTGTGGGCTCTTTCTGAAAAGACCACGTTCTCTTTATACCCTTCTTGTGGCGCACGTCACTTCCCCTGCTCAGTCAGTTTCTTGCTTCAGTGTCTTGGGATGTTTTGAATTAAAATAGACTTCAGTAAGCAGGTGAAGTGACAGGGAAGAGGCGCTGCGTGAAGAATAGACGCACGTCCCCGGAGGCTCGGGAGTTTCACCTGTGGTGTGTGCAGCCCGTGGCTTTGACCTCCGACAGAGCGGGCTCTCGGCAGCCTGTCTGTCCGGGCGAATAGCAGTGGCCCTTGGAGTGTCCTCTCTGCGCTCCGATGGCCAGTGCGTACGTGGAAGGAGCCGCCACCGGTGGAAGATCCCTGCTTGCTTCTCTCGTCATTTCCTGTCACTCAGACTCTGGACGAGGACAGCACGTGTGCAGCCAGTTGGACTAGCACAGAGGGAAGCAGAACTAAAGTAGACGCAGATGCCGCCCTGATGCAGCTTCATTAAGGTTCCTGCGTGGTTCTGCGTGGGCCAGGCTCCTGCAGCTGGGCGGGCGCACACAGCAGGCCTGTTTGCTCCCAGGCCCTGAGCGGGGAGGGGCGGGGGGGGAGTGCTGGCAGGCCTCTCCCTCCAGCCTCCTCCCTGCCGTGGCCTCCTCCCCCTGTGGCCTCTCTCCACTCCTTGGAAGGCACTGTCCTGTCCTGTTGGATTCGGGCCACCTGGGACTCAGGACCTGCATCTCTCCCTGGAGGCCCATCCCAAACACTGTCACCTCGCAGGGCGGGACTTCGACACAGGAATGTGGGGACACGGTTTCGGCGGCGGCAGTGCTGTGGGCATATCTTAGTCGGGCTAGTTTCTGACACCCGACAGACCATGAATGTGGACATTTTAAGGACACTTGGTAGTGATTTCACAATTAGTGGAAAAATTGAGAACTAAGATGCATCTAAGATCGAGTTTTTTATCTTAAACATGCATATTTAAAAAATAAAGCATTTTTATTTTAACTGCCAAAAAAACTAAGCAATAATGTACTTTGCAATATGCAGTTTTATTTGAATTATGTTGCATCATAGGAGAATTTCAACTAATGTCCTTTAGATGGGAATGTTTGAGCGTATTTAGGAGTTTCCTGCCGGCTGTCTGGGGCCGGCCGCTGGTGCTGTGACAGTAACGCTCTCTGCCTGTTGGCAGCACGGAGGCATCTACGTCAAGAGGAGCGCGAGGTTCAGGGAGGAGGAGATGCGCCAGAAGCTGCTGAGCTACGTGAGCGCCGGGACCCCGGTGAGTGACGCTGCCCTCCGCTCTGTGCGGTGTAGGACTTGGTGCGATGTAAGGCTTGTCTGCCAGGCTGTTGTCCGTGTGTAACGAGTAATTCAGGGCTTTGTTAAGGCCACAGAAGCCCTCCCCATAGAGCAAGCACATGGGGCCATGAGACGGTGGCTGCGGACGGATGGCGGGCCTTTGCTGGGGCTCGGTTTGACCTGAGAGAGCAGGCAGGGAGGACGCGGTGTCTAGTCTATAAATAGCAGGTGGCTGCCTGTCACTTAGGCCTCCACCCGCCTGGTCTCCATGTCAGCGCGTCCAGGCGGCTGCTTTCTGGCTGTGAGGGCTGTGTGACTTCTTGTGTAGATTCAGTTATTTGAAAAGTCAAAATTAGTGTCAGTATCTGCAAACAAAGAACCATTCAGTGTAAGTATTACTTTATAAAACTTGCCCCCCCGCCCCCCCCCCCGCCAAAGAATCTCGGTATTCACTTAGAAAGACGCTGGCGGCCGCCCGGCGCCCTCACCCTGCTCCCCCAGAACCCAGGAATCAGTGCCTGCGCTTCCTCCAGTGCCCGGGGGGCCCTGTGGCTCAGAACCTCTCCTCCAGGGTCAGGCTCCCTCCTGTCCTCCTCTGTTCCCTCTGCTCCTCCTCCCCGTGCCCTCCCTACAGCGCGTGGTGAGGAGGAGTTCTCCCTCCACAGCAGCTGGTAAGCGCCCTGCGGCAGGTGCTTGTTCACAGCCGAGCGCTCCTTGTTTTGCACGGTGGGGGCCGTGTGGCTCCGCTCTGGACGGCTCACCTGCAGATGTTCGCGTGGGGCTGGTGTTCTCGGGTGGGGAGAGAGATTCTTTGAGCATTCGGCACCCTAAATGAAAGCCTCTTATTTTTTTGTTAATAAATTTAAAAGCTTGGAATAATTTTGGATTTACCAAACCCAAGTGAAAAAAGGCGCCTCTGAAAAGAAAGAAAATATTGCAAACCACGTGTCCTGTAAGGTGTTAATTTCGAAAATACATGGGACTCAAGCAGCTCAGTAGCAAGAAAACACATCACCCGGAAATGGGCAAAGGGCTTGACTGCACACTCTCCAAAGAAGCCCTGGGGGGGGGGGCAACATGACAAGGTGCTCCACGCCCCGATCACCCGTCAGGGCCACAGGCAGGTGTCACCTCACACCTGGTAGAGTGGCTGCTCTCAGGACGTCAGGAGGTGGGAGAGAAGGGAGCCCTTGGATACTGTCGGTGGGACCTAAATTGGTGTCGTCCTTATGGCAAACAGAACAGAGGGCCCGCCAGGGATTAAAACGAGAGCTGCCATCTGATCCAGCAGTTCTACTTCTGGGTGTAGATCGGAAAATATGTATATGACCACTGTCTCGAAGCGATACCTGCATCCGTGTTCACTGCAGTAACATTCACAGCAACCAAGATAAGGATGCAGCCTAGGAGTCCATCAGTCGGGGAGTGGCTAAAGAAAATATGTATCAAGAGAGAAGGAAACCTGTCATTTGCGACAGCACAGCAGGGGCAAGGTTTTTATCTATGGAAGAGCTGTTGGTGAGGGTGCCTGATGTGCATCCAGCTGCAGGTGTAGCAGGTGGGACTGGGTGGGTGTGCTGTATGCATATGCCCAGGTGGTACAGGTGGGACTGGGTGGGTGTGCTGTATGCATATGCCCAGGTGGTACAGGTGGGACTGGGTGGGTGTGCTGTATGCATATGCCCAGGTGGTACAGGTGGGACTGGGTGGGTGTGCTGTATGCACACACCCAGGTGTTCCAGGTGGGACTGGGTGGGTGTGCTGTATGCACACACCCAGGTTGCAGGTGGGATTGGGTGCATCTTGCTGTATGCACACACCCAGGTGTAGCAGGTGGGACTGGGTGGGTGTGCTGTATGCACATGCCCAGGTGTTCCAGGTGGGACTGGGTGGGTGTGCTGTATGCACATGCCCAGGTGTTCCAGGTGGGACTGGGTGTGTGTTCTGTATGCATATGCCCAGGTGTTCCAGGTGGGACTGGGTGGGTGTGCTGTATGCACACACCCAGGTTGCAGGTGGGATTGGGTGCATCTTGCTGTATGCACACGCCCAGGTGTTCCAGGTAGGACTGGGTGGGTGTGCTGTATGCACATGCCCAGGTGTTCCAGGTAGGA